GTCAAGGACTTAATCAATCCCGTATACGATTCCCTTTGTCTAGCGGTACGATACTTGCCCGAGATTCGATCGTCGGTATCCCGATACCTTGTTCAATCTCGTTACCGGCAAGTCTCTTTACTCGTTCCGTAACACATCATCCCATGATCAACTCCTTTATCACATTGTGCACATTATGATGATGTCCTACCGAGTGGGCCCAGAGATACCTCTCCATTTACACGGAGTGACAAATCCCAATCTCGATTCGTGCCAACCCAACAGACACTTTCGGAGATACCTGTAGTATACCTTTATAGCCACCCAGTTACGTTATGACGTTTGGCACACCCAAAGCACTCCTACGGTATCCGGGAGTTGCACAATCTCATGGTCTAAGGAAATGATACTTGACATTAGAAAAGCTATAGCATACGAACTACATGATCTTGTGCTAGGCTTAGGATTGGGTCTTGTCCATCACATCATTCTCCTAATGATGTGATCCTGTTATCAATGACATCCAATGTCCATGGTCAGGAAACAGTAACCATCTATTGATCAACGAGCTAGTCAACTAGAGGCTTACTAGGGACATGGTGTTGTCTATGTATCCACACATGTATCTGAGTTTCCTATCAATACAATTCTAGCATGGATAATAAACGATTATCATGAACAAGGAAATATAATAATAACCAATTTATTATTGCCTCTAGGGCATATTTCCAACATGCTCGCCGTTGAGGCGGCCGCGGCGCGCTCTGTTCGCGTCCGTCCGAGCGTTTTGCTCGCCATTGAGGTGGCCGCGACGCGCTCTGTTCATTTGAGTCAGTCGTTTGCCACGTATCACACACATCTTGTTAAGTTGAACCGTTTCTGTTGTGTTCCCTAATCAAAAACAGTTTGTGCCATATATCACACACACTTTGATTTGGCTAACTGTTTCTGTTGCTCTCCTTAATAGCAAACAGTTCATCGGAGCGAACTATATGCCATATATCACACACATTGATATGACTGCCCGTTTCTGTTGTTCTGCCTCATCGCAAACAGTTCGAATGGATTAACTGTGTGCCCTGCATCGCACATGCAAATAAAATCTGAACCGTGTTTGATGGCTCTGCCATCGCAAACGTTTTGCACCTTTTTGACGGTTTTTTACATCCTCGTTTGCGATTAATGCATCGCACACAGTTTTATGAAAGGGTCTCTGATCGTAGTGTCGCGTTAGCAGCATCCTGCAGTAGTGCTTGTTCTGTCAAATCATGTTTACTCAATGCCACGTGGAAAAAAATATCCACGTCTACCACTCTTCAAACCCGATTGATGGTAAAGTGATGGACACCAATTTAGAGGGTGTTATGTGAGATTAGACTCAACGTACACACATGTCACCTTACCACACATGTCATCTCGTGGACCCCACTACTTCTATTTCTCTCAACATACATGGGAAATGTTACTTATAGTCAACATGCACATATTCCACTTCATCAACCCCGCTATTTTTATTTTTCTCAACATGCATGAAAAATACTACTCCCTTCAATCCATATTACTTGTCACTTCTTTAGTACAAGTAAGTAGTTTTCAACTACATAATAATAATCAAATCCAATAAATCTTAGTTTTTTTAGTCTTCACTATCATATTCAAATACCATACAACTAAATCTCATCTAAATAATATATTGCAATTGCGCCCAATTCTCGCAACAATGCGCGGAGTATCATCTAGTTTATAAGATAAAGTGAATAAAATTAAGAGTCAACGGGGTATTGTCTAGTTTAGGAGGGTGGGGGAGGGGAGGGGACTGCGAGGGTGACTTTTTCTTCTATACATTTTCGTGATATTTCTTCTGAACGTGATGTGGCCATGCCTTCTTTGAACTATTAATGTGTAATCGAAGACAAGTGGCCATGAGTATCTCATCTGATGAGGATACCAAGGGTTTTTGTTAAAGGCTACTTTCTTGTAAAAAGCATGCAACAGTGTTTCGTTCTAACCTCTCCCGTATATGTGCATCCATCAAAACCACTAGCATAACGCTCGCGCGTTGTTGTGGAAGTATGTAATAAACGAAGTTGTATTAGGTTAATGGTATCGCGTCATTGTGAAAGTATGGAATAAATGAAGTTGTATTAGGTTAACGGTATACAACAACCAATGTAAATTGCAACATTGCAAAGAAAAACTTAAGAAAGCATGCGACACTGCAGATGTGTAATTGCACGATCATAGGAGCATTGTCATGCACTTATAAGATACTCTCTATTCAAGACATGGGTAAGGTGGTCCCTTGCTGCTTTGATCGAGTTGGGTGTAATGATAAGTGGGTGGGTTCTGGCTCCTTAACTGTATTATTTTTTATTTCTTTGTTTATAAATTGTTTTCAAATAGGAGAGGTCTGGTTGATTCTATATGGATGAGGAAGATTGGGATGGAGTAGGGAGTGAACTCTTCCACACCAGAGTGGTCTTTTGGGTTCTAGATGGATGAGGAAGATTGAGTGGAGTGGGAAGTAAACTCTTCGAAGCTAAAGAGGTTTAGTGGATTCTAGATGAATGAGATATATTAGAGTGGAGTGAGGAGTGAACTCACCGCCACGACCAACAACTCTAGTTTATAAGATAGTAGAGATATGCTATCTAAGTTTCTATCGTCACTCCAACATGTGATATGTTTCTTTATTGGATTCTCGCTAGGTTTTGCCCTACCCACAAACAATACTTTTGTTGGCATATAGACAGATCCAAAGGGCACCGCCCTCCTATCCGTTGATCCCGTAAGGCGTTCTAGAGGCCTCTTTGGATCATTGCACCATGGTGCCCACCTACCTTGTTGATCACGTGGGGCCTTCTAGAGTCCTCTTTGACTCATAACAACGTGATGCCCACCTACCCGCCCCTAGGGCCTTCTAGAGGCCCCTATGGCGCATAGTGCTACGATGAACCTTTGAATGCCCGATGCAGGGAATGCTGGAAGTTGTTTGAGGATTTTCTCTTTGTCGGACTCTTTTCTTAACTTCATCAATGTCACCGCGTCTCATTATCTCCCTATTCACTTCCGTTTTCTACCATTTGATTATGCTTATGGTTTGGCACCACCTTGACAAAACTACAAATTTTAAATATGAAAACCTCACGAAAATTATCAACTTGTTTGTTTCTACCAAACAAGTTGAAGTCACGTGATCTTGAAACACCTGCTAATTTGGATGAAGTTCAAGATGATGTGAATTTTGCTGTGAAATCCGCAACACAAAGTTTAGATATAATTCTTTCCGCAAAAATCATATGAACAAATCCTTACAAAAAAGATTGGTAACTAGTGTCAAGTTGATAAACCCACAAACATATAAACTAGTCATCCATCCGCTGGTTAAATAGAGTTATGCTCCAGTACACCCACTTTCTCACCGACACGTACTAATGACTAACCATCTTCAAAACATGGCAACAATTTCAAAAAGACATCAATATTTTACTTCAATTTACGTGACCGCTATTAAAACCCTACCGAACAGTTGCTTTTTGCAAGAAACCAAAGAAGAACAAAATGAGCTGAAAAGCCGGTGTGAATTTCATCCTCACCAAATATTCTGGCAAGAATCAACGAGTTGCTAAATGTATAGAATGGAGGGTAATTTTTATCCAAAATTGGCGTGGCACAATTTTTTTTTTTGGCGTGGCAGCCATTAGAACGCTGCCCCACAAAGAAAACCACCAGTATAAAAATGTGAGTACTACCGTGTGAGAGAGGAAACCAATTAAGACCTGCAGGAAAAAAAAAGAGAGGAAGTAGCGAGGAACGGCAGATCTGAGGGGGGACGACCCGCCCGCCCCGATTTCTCCTCACCTATTTATACGGCCCTCCCCACCAGCTCCGGGCACCACCACCACCAATTCGCAACCCCTCCTCCCCCGTTCTCCTCATTGTCCTCGCGCCCCGCCCCGCTCCGCTCCGACGGCCAACCGCTCCACACACCACTAGCCTGCCTGCCTGCCTGCCTGCCTGCCGCCAAGGTACAGCAGATCACTCGCCTCCCCCCGCGCCTCCTCTCCTCTCTTCCTTGCAGTTCCCGGCCCGCGAGTGAGATGCGCGCGCCTGTTCATCTCCTCTTGTGTTGTATGTGCGCGCCGAGATCTTGTGTCGTCGCGTGGCCCTGATCCGCGGCTCGCTGCTCGTTCGCTCCGGTGCCGGTGTAGTGAGATCTGGGCTGCCGTCCGGCCCCTCTCCGCCGATCGAACTCGCCTCCGTGCCCATTACTCGTAACCGTCCGCCGCTGTACCGGGCTGGCGTGGAGGGGGGAGATCCGTCCAGTTTGGCGCGGGTTTGCTTACTGGTGGAGTACTGACAGCAGTTTATTTTCCAGAAATATCTGGGACTCAGTTCTCGGTTGTGGTACTTGTAGATCTTAGTACTGTACATTATGCGCCATGTAGCAGTTTATTTTCCAAGTATTTATGGTGCACAAGGGCACGTTGGAGCGGGTTAATTCAGGGGCAATTCTGCGTTGACGCCCAAATGGTTGATTTGCGGCAAATTAACAACGGCAGTTCTACCTAATTATTTAGTCAATGTTTTCGAAATTGTGACTAGGTGACTTGTAGATAGTTGGTTCATCTATATATGTGGCCTCTCTTGCAATGGTTTAAGTGCTACAACATACAATTTGGGTTACAATTTGGGGTTGACAGACGGTGGATGCTCTCTCGTGTCTATTTTTACAACTCAGGATGAATGATTGTAGTAACTTTGTTTGCACTGGCTGTTTACTGTTTGGTACATGGTAAATTAATGAGGAAAACACGTTTCCTGAATTTTGATTGGGGAGGGATAGGTCGTTCATGCCAATTTTGTTTGTACAGTTCTGAATTTTTGGTGTTCCATTCTGTGCGTCCTTTCTGAAATTTTCTCTGCAGTGCACCCTGCTGTTTCTTATATTTCTTACTGCTACATGTGTGTGGAGTTCTTGTGGTGTAATCCTGACAATTTTGTTTCATCAAACAGGCAAGATGGTGAAGATCTGCTGCCTTGGGGCTGGCTATGTAGGTGGCCCAACAATGGCGGTCATTGCCCTCAAGTGCCCTGACATTCAGGTGGTTGTGGTAGATATCACCAAGTCCCGGATTGATGCCTGGAACAGTGACACACTGCCAATCTATGAGCCTGGCCTTGATGAAGTCGTGAAGCAGTGCCGTGGAAAGAACCTCTTCTTCAGCAATGACATTGAGAAGCATGTTAGCGAGGCTGACATCATCTTTGTGTCGGTAAACACCCCAACCAAGACCCGTGGTCTTGGAGCTGGTAAGGCTGCTGATCTCACTTACTGGGAGAGTGCAGCTCGCATGATTGCTGATGTGGCCAAATCAGACAAGATCGTGGTCGAGAAGTCCACTGTTCCAGTCAAGACTGCTGAGGCAATTGAGAAGATCTTGACCCACAACAGCAATGGCATCAACTTCCAGATCCTCTCCAACCCAGAGTTCCTTGCTGAGGGTACTGCTATCCAAGACCTATTTAACCCTGACCGTGTTCTTATTGGAGGACGTGAGACCCCAGAAGGTCAGAAGGCTGTTCAGACGCTGAAGGCTGTGTATGCGCATTGGGTTCCTGAGGATCAGATTCTGACAACCAACTTATGGTCTGCGGAGCTGTCGAAGCTTGCAGCCAATGCGTTCTTGGCCCAGAGGATCTCCTCTGTGAATGCCATGTCAGCCCTCTGCGAGGCCACTGGTGCAAATGTTTCTGAGGTGTCCTATGCTGTGGGCAAGGACTCTAGGATTGGCCCAAAGTTTTTGAATGCCAGTGTTGGATTTGGAGGCTCTTGCTTCCAGAAGGATATCCTCAACCTGGTTTACATCTGCGAGTGCAATGGCCTCCCAGAGGTCGCCAACTACTGGAAGCAGGTGATCAAGATCAATGACTACCAGAAGAGCCGGTTTGTGAACCGTGTTGTTTCCTCTATGTTCAACACGGTTGCGAACAAGAAGATTGCGGTGCTTGGTTTTGCATTCAAGAAGGATACTGGTGACACTAGGGAGACTCCAGCTATTGATGTCTGCAAGGGTCTGCTTGGTGACAAGGCTAAGATCAGCATTTATGATCCTCAGGTGACTGAAGACCAAATCCAGCGTGACCTTGCGATGAACAAATTTGACTGGGACCACCCTGTTCATCTCCAGCCCATGAGCCCCACGACTACAAAGCAAGTCTCGGTTACCTGGGATGCATATGAGGCGACCAAGGATGCCCATGGCATCTGCATCATGACTGAGTGGGATGAGTTCAAGACTCTGGACTACAAAAAGATCTACGACAGCATGCAGAAGCCCGCCTTTGTTTTTGATGGTCGCAACGTTGTTGACTCTGAGAAGCTCAGGGAGATTGGCTTCATTGTCTACTCCATTGGCAAGCCACTCGACGGTTGGCTCAAGGACATGCCTGCTGTGGCTTAAATAAACTCTGATAAAGGGAGGAGATCCGCCTCGGGTGAATCCATGAGCAGCTATCGATAGGGATTCAGCTTGTTATTTCTCTTTATAGTCGCTGTTTATCTTGTGCCAGAAAATCAGATGTCATTTTTTTTCTTGAGTGTTTCTTCGGGGTTTACAGTGTTAGAATGGCATGGTCACTGGGATGTGTCATTCCTTTGCTCCATTGCCACATCTTTGTAGCTAATGTCTGTTGTTGCATCTTTATCATGTTACTGGTGTTCATCCTGTTGGTTATACATGTGGCTTCAATTACTAAGATTATCTTAGCAATCTACATATTCTGCAATTCAGCATTTCTTTGCTTGTGAATATAATTTGTTGTGAAATCTGCTTCTGAGACGAATGCAATTGGGACATGGCTGTTGTGTAAACTCACTATTTCTTCGCCAGGAAAAACGCGTGGTTCCTTTAAGAAGGGAAAAAAACCCTCATGGTCTCATATATATCATAGCAATGCAGTTAATTGAGCACATAATCTCTATGCAGTTTATATTTTTGAGTCGTTTTAGGCATATTTATACCACTCTTGCCCAGACTTTTGCTGGCTTGTGCTCTTTAGTGCTTGGGCTGTAGGTCACTGTGGTTATTAGCTGACCAGGACTCACATTATTGACTCTGTAGGTTTTGGTGTTTCCACTTGAGTTTGTTCCCTCATGGCAAGGTTGATTCCACCATGCTTTGTCTTAACATATTTGTGCTTTTGAGGTTGAAAGCTGACGGAGCTGGGATTGAGATTGAGACACCAAAGGTCAATCGGCAAGATGCATGCTTCAAGTAGTTATTATCACTGGAACCTGGTAGTATCTGGGAACACTCCAGGTAAGGATTTTGTATTCAGTGATCTCTCTGACTCTGATGAATGAGCACAATGGTAGAGATTGAAGGGAGAGATCCAACAGCTGACAGGGTCAGTTTCTTCGGGCAATGTGTTCTCATGCAAGTTCCAAGTCAGATATTTTTTCCTGGAACAATGCTCTGATAACTACTCAAAGCCATCTCCTTCGGTGTTTGCATTCACCTGAATTCTCGAATTTATCCTGGATCTCTTGCATTTTAAGGTGTGCATTATGGAGGCGCACTCACGTGGATGTGTCCGTGGCCGTGTGACACACATATGTGATACATGCCAAAATGCCGCCGAGGTGTCGGTGGACCTTGATGATGAAGATGATTCTGCCAAAGAGGTCGGTATCCAGATATGTGACTGAGTGATCAGCTGGCTGGTTGTCCCATCGAAAATGAGGTACACGTTTGCTTTGCGCAATCAGCACATCTCGTTTTCAGGCCTTTGTCCAGAATATTCCAGTACAATGCATCGTTTTTGCTTCAGTCTTTTGCTTTTTCCTGGATTCCAGTTTCATTGGTATGCTGCGTGCAGACTCTGAGGTTTTGGTGTAGTTATTATGATTGTGGCGTGTCGTCCATTCATTCACGGTTGATTTACCACATATTGTCTCACAGTTTCGTTTGTTTCATTTATATAGCAAGTGAGGCGGGAGGTTGATGAGACTGATTGATAAACCAGAGGTCAATCCATGATAAGATCTATGCTTGAAGTAGTTTTTATAACTGGACACATGGCATCTGGCAACAGACACTCACTCAGGTAAGAAAGACAGTAGTATTCAGTAACCTCCCTTCTGAATTCACTTGGAAAAAACAAACCTCACTTCTGGTTGAAAGGTTGCGGATTGCTCCTGAGAAACGATCCTGGGTTGGCGCATGGGAACTGAAAACCACCGGATTCAAATCTTGGTGCTCGCTTTTACCTGAATCTACCTCAGATCCTTTGCTAGTAGGGACATACTCGTGTGGTGCCTGGGGCTTTATACATGCCAAGATTCCACCAAGTTATCGGTGAATGATTGGTACGGACATCTGCCTTGATGACGATTCGACCAAGAGGCTGGCTGGTAATACTAAGGCAATCGATGGCCAGGTAGCCGGTTGTTCCATCAAAAAACGCGAAGCACGTTTGCTTGGCGACATTGAGGTGTCATTTCCACCGTTCCTTGTACGCCCTTGTCCACGATAGTCCAAACCATCCATATTTTGTTTCCTTCTTGCTTGTGAAATGGATGTTTAAGCTGTCAAATGTGATAAAAGGGAGAAGATCCGCCTTGGGTGAATCCATGAGCAGCTATTGATAGGATTCAGCTTGTTGTTTCTCTTTATAGTTGCTCTTTATCTTGTGCCAGAAAATCAGATGTTATTTATTTCTTCCTTGAGCATTTCTTTGGGGTTTACAGTGTTAGAATGGCATGGTCACTGGGACGTGTCATTCCTTTGCTCCATTGTCACAGCTTTGTACCTAGTGTCTGTTGTTGCATCTTTATCATGTTATTGGTGTTCATCCTGTTGGTTATACATGTGGCTTCAGTTACTAAGATTATTTTAGGAATCTACTCCCTCTGTAAACTTTTATAAGACGTTTTAGGTCACTAAACGTCTTGTAAAAATTCAGCATTTCTTTGCTTGTGAATATAATTTATTGTGAAATCTGCTTCTACGATGAATGCAATTGGGACATGGCTGTTGTGTAAACTTGGACAAACTCACTATTTCGGTGGTGGGGAGGTGAGAGCGCCTATCGCCTATCCAACGCGCGGGTTTGCCGTGTTTTTGTTTCTAATGCAAGTTGCAATTGTGATAATAAAGGCCCGTTTGGCAAACCACCGCTCCTTGAAATATCAGGATCTGCGGAGCTACTGTTTTGCTCGCTCCAACATTTTAAGCTACTGCTCCGTCCGTTCCGGGAGCAGAGTCGTGGAGCTGGAGGGACTCCGAACGGGCCCTAAATCATCTGGCTGCTTCGAATTGTTCCAAGTCTGATTTTGTTTATAAGCTTTCAAATAACTAAATGGGTGCAAGGAGCTCAAATCCATCTCCTTTGGTGTTTGCATTCACGCGAATTCTGGAATTTATCTTTCGTTGCAGTTTAGGTGTGCATTAGCTCGTCCGGCGGAAGCTGCGCAGTCGCTTGGGAGGCTGTGTGTGCCCCCAAATGGGCGGGTGGATTAGGCATACCCAACCTAGGATGGATGAACAAAGCTGTGCAGGCAAGGTGGCCTTGGTTACAGAGGTCAGACACATCGCGACCATGGGCAGAATTTGACATTGGGCAGAATTTGACATCACAGTGCCAAAAGCTTCAAGACAACTCTTCAACGCGGCTGCTTGTTGGGTTCTCGGAGACGGAAATACAACACTCTTTTGGGAAGATAGATGGCTCGAAGGACACCGGATCGTGGAGATTGCACCCTTGACCTACGGCCGAGTCAGGAAGAAAATGAGGAAAACATGCACCGTAGCCCAGGCCCTACTGAATGACGCTTGGGTTGCCCAAGTAAGCCCGGAGGTATCAACTAATTCGCTAAGGGAATATCTACAGCTATGGAACATGATCCAAGAAGTTCAACTTGACCCAACGCAGCATGATATCATCACTTGGTCATGGGAAGCAAGCGGATGCTATTCAGCGAGGACTGCCTATGCAGCCAAGTTCTGGGGCAGGCAAGTCGTCCCCACAGCCGAATTCACCTGGAAATCTAAAGCCGCCGCAGGGGAAACACAGCCCGGCCGCCTCTCGGGAAAGGGGGGGCCCTGCCGCTTCTTCACATGGCTCGCAATCCAAGATAGGTGCTGGACGTCCGATCGGCTGGCAAGACGAGGGCTCGATCATCAGGATTGCTGCCCAATGTGCAACCAAGAAGAGGAGAGCATAAATCACATTTTGCTCCACTGTGTAGTCGCGCGGGAAGTGTGGACCGCGATTTGTCACCCCCTACGCAGACTGGAATGGATACCTACTGTGAATGAAAGCCTCGGTGCATGGTGCCAAGACAAGAGAGGAAGAGGAAAGGCCGGGAGGGATGCAAATGCAATCATCATCCTAGGGCTATGGCAAATATGGAAACACCGCAACTCGATTGTCTTCGATGGAGCTACACCTTCAAAGAACACGATTATCCATGCAGTCGTAAGAGAGGGCCGTGTATGGAAGAAAGCGGGCATACTACGAGGAGACATGGGCGCCTTCTTTACTGAGGTGGAAGAGTGGGCAGCGGAGAGTAGATAGCTTGTGACTAGGTGGAGGGTGGAAGTAGAGTTAGCGTGCAGTGTATATGTAATCTGTAATGCTAAAGTGAACGGTCTCTTTACCCCGGCTCCTTCTATATAATATAATACGCACACTCATGCGTATTCGAGAAAAAAAAAATTCTCGCACGTGAATGCCAAAATGTCACCGAGGTGTCGGTGGGCCTTGACGCTGACGACGATTCTGCCAAGAGGTCGGTATCCAGATCTGTGAATGATCAGTACGCTGGTTGTCCCATCCAAACGCGATACACATTGCCATGCATGCTCGTTTTCAGGTCTTTGTCCAGAATATTCCATACCAGGTACAGGCATGGTTTTTCCTTTGTTGCGAAATCGATGTGGTAAATGTCAGGTCACGGACGCATCGGAAACACATGGGGTGATCATCATACACCAAGACTCGTACTTCTTTGTTCTTCTGTTTTTTTCTCGAATTCCAATTTCATTGGTATGGCTGTGTGTGTGGTCCCTTAGAGCATTTCTAGCAGACCCTGTATAATGCCGATCCATAAAACGCGTATACAGTTCGCGGAAAAACAACTTTACGGGTTGGCGCAAGCTGCGGATATCTTTTTTACGGGTCTATTTCGCGGGATCTAACTCTGTCGCCGCCCACGCCAACCCGTAAATTAGTAATTTGAACTTTAATTTCTGGCATGCAAACACATTTATTTGCTTTTTTATTTTCTTCAAGGGCATTGCATACATAATAACTCATCAAATCTTTGCTAGAACAGTAAGACCAAAAAAAAACAAGAATCACAATTAGGCATTTTAGAAGATATCCAACTTTCATAACTGCTCCCACTAGTTGGACCAACATCTTCTCCATGTATTCGTTGTTGACCTGCAGATTCTTG